AGTAAGGCACCTGTTCCTAGTAGCGTGGCACTTGTTCCTAGTAGCTTATTGTTTCTAATAGCGTTTCTTGACCATCCTTGACAAGGAACACCATAAGTCTTTGTCCCTAGCACTTTCATCCCACGCAGTCAGCGCTCTTCATTTCTGAGGAACTCCATCGTGGACTGGTTCATTCCTTCTGGACCAACTGGCATGGACCCTTCCCAGACCTCTTTCTTCCAGGCAATGCGTGCGGCATATTGCCACCCTGGATTCTTCAACGCCAAGAATTGATCAGTCATACACTAGGGATGTGAAGAGGCTCTGACAGCCACTGTTTGGTGGACCAAAAAGAACTTGGAACAGCTTCAGCTTTTTGTCGAGATTTTCCACAGGCCTTGAACATCGGTACCAAGATCGTGAAGGGACAGATCGAGCTGGTCTCCGATTTCAAGATCTTAGCCGAGCCTCGGCTTAAGTATCGGAGACATGTTGGATGTGTCTTGTTTGAACCGCGTGGCTGGTGGATCAGAGTGGTGAGTGGCTGAATGAGGATGTTGCTTAGGCGCGTCAAACGTTACATCACCATTGGTCATGAGGGCCCTACAAAGAGTCTTTGCACACATTCTTTGGGGCAAAAAATTGAGTATCATTATTCTCATCTCAGTGAGGAACCTTGCCCAACAACTCTCCAATTTAAATAAGATTAACCAACAATCCCCATGTTCCGGACTGCTTCCCCACCTTAAATTAAGCGACTGAGGTGGGCGAGCGCGTCACAGCTTCCGGCGCGGTCCTGCTCAACAAGCTAGGCATCCGACCCTTTGAGTACAAGATGGAGGCCGGTGCTGTTGGGCAGGCGAAAACTGGGAAGATCAACAGCTCAACTTGGGATTGAGTTTTGGACTTGAGTCCTTCAATCTTGTGACAGGGATGGAGTTTGGTGGTCTTTGGCCTCCAGTAGTATCGTGGGGTGTCTGGTGGGAGAAGAGTCTAGCCGCTATGCCAAAGGATGCTGTTCTCATTCATATAGCTTGGTGCTTGTGTTGACGACCTGGAGCTTGCAGTTAATATTGCCAAGTAACTCTATATTGATATATGATGCTATATGTCACAGTCCTTGTCCAAGTCATCTTGCAAGTCATCTAGTAACACAGCACACAAGTGCAGTGTTGGTTGAACAAGTTTTGGCATATGAATTTGTCAGCCTTGGCACAAGTTTGTCGCTGTGCAAGCTTTGACTGGCGCCATGGAGAGGGTCCATGTGCCGTGGCGCATTCAAGACATGGAACGGGAGAGGCTTTGGAACATCGCCCGGTCAACTCCAGGGTATAATTCTGTTGACCGGGAACATCAAAGGCTCAGCAGCAGCTTCTTCATGATCCTTGCCGTCGTTGCCTTTGGCCTCATCTGTGCAGCCTCTGGCCTCATCCGGGTAGCCTCTGCACCTGTTTTGCACGCCGTGTCCCCCCCACTCAAACACCGATGGACGTGCCGATGCACAAGAGAAATTGAAGCGCTTGGGTGTAAAAGATTGAAGATGAATTTGATCAAGGCTGTTGGTATGGTGGCAAGGAGGAAAAGACACGCCTGTGTCAGGACTACCGGAAGTGCGTGCATGATTGTATTAACAAAGCACTCTCGTCCAAGGGAAAAAAAGGTCTGGGCGATGGCAAAGTGATAAAGGAATTGAAGAAGTGCCTGAAGAAGTGCCAAGAAGAGCTCGACTCTCGACGACGGGCGAAATGAATCAGATAGAAGGATTGTGATCATGGTAAATTATTCTGGAGCGCTACAGCGAGGGTACAAATCTTTGACGTGCTCAATCAGCAACTTTTTCTCATCATCACCCTGCCATCGCGAGAAGAGGGTGGAAAACAAGATAAGCAGAACCTAAGAACGAGCCAGGGTGGAGTCGAACCACCAAGAGACGTTGTCAAAGTCTGGATGACTTCGCACGACGACGCCTTACCCATTAGGCAACTGCCTCTCCCAACATTTTTTGAACATATCCACACCAGAAACCTACTAATAAAGTGGCCTGTGCTGGTACTCGATTGTGCAAGACAGGCCTGGAGGTCCTTTGCTATTCCCCGCCAGTCGCTGCTCAACTCGTCCGTCATGGCGTCGTGCCTCCACGTCGTGGCAGGTGAAGTATGTCTTTCAGGATGCCGCTGTCTTCAGCGCTGCGGTGCTTGACATGTCTGAGGAGTCCACGGGTCTTGCGTGATGGTGGTGTTTGGGGGCTGGTGACAGGGATAGGGATGGGCGGGATAGGGCTGGGCCCCATGGTGGTCAGACTCAATGACCTCAAGAAGGGGACAAGGTTGAACTTTTGAAGGTTAGCGCTTGGAACAAAAGGAAACATCCAGTTTTAGTGCAAGCTTCGTCAGAATACTTTCGTGTGTCGAATGGTTGTGAAAGGTCTTGAAACAATTGAACAGTGGCCGCCCCGACACGTGGGTCTTAGGGATCAGGATCTGAAAAGGCAATGATCCGCAGGAGATGCTCATCCAGAAGTTCTTGGCCGGTATTGCCAACATGGCCGCCTTCAGCCGAGAGGCCGGGATCATGTGTGATGGGCTTGAGATCACAGTAATGTCACGATGCGTCGACATTTTTGTGGGAAAGCGTGTTAGAAAGACAAGGTTTGTCACGAGTTGAAACCAGTTGGACGGGACCTTGTCGCTTCATGTTTTCCATCCCTTGGATGAAGGTAGATGCAAAACTTGCTGAAGTACACTTGACACTATAGCCGTAAGCGAAAAGGTTATTGCACACCTTTGGGCCATCAGAACACTTCAGAAGCAACTGCGCGTGACCAGCTCATCAGCTTGGCCAGGTGGGCATCCCCACAGAGGCAGGTTTGCCTCATGCCTTCGGCAACGCCTTCCGAAATGTGGCGGCGCTGGTGGCGGACATCGACTTCACCTTCAAGGAGGTGCCGTATGCCATTTGAAGGGAACTTGCACAGGTCGCAAGCAGTGAATCGGTGAAATAAACACAAGTCGAACCACATGGACCCATCATTTTGTATTACATTGTTTCTTTATATACCTTGATTATGCAGGATCAGGGGTGCTGTTTCTTTTCCCATGTTCGATATTTCCATCCAGGTCCATGACCCAACAACAATTGAAGTAGAATTGTGGTGGAATATGTCGGACTAGAATATTAGAGTGTCTTGGCACACACTTTACGTCCAAAGTCTCATGGGTCAGTGTCCGGGAGAATCGGTTCAAGTGTACATAGCTTTCAGAGTCAAATTCACATCTAGTTGCTGGCAGGTGGAGGATGTCAAGAAGTTCTTGGAGGACCCTGATGCCTATGCCGCGGCCAACCCTGTGGCGGCAGCTGCCCCGGCGGCCGGTGGCGGTGAAGCCAAGAAGGAGGAGAAGAAGGCTTTTGGGTCTCGAGGGGAGGGAAAGGCGAAGGTCGATGGTTCCAGGCCGTGAGTCCGTGAGTATGAATGGATGTTGGATGTAATAGAGATGGTGTCAAAAAAAGATCAAATTCATGGAGATGGGTATCATTGACAAGGAGGTTTGATTTACCATTTACTGTATCTTGTTGTCTGTTCTGCCTATTTTGTCAGTGGCAAGCCATGCTGACTTCCTGGGTGATGAGGATGTTAGTTTTCCACTGCTCTGTTGGGTTGCTTTTCTATGTCTTAGTCTTTGTTCCCGAGGCCCCAGCCTTAATTGCTGATAATTAATCGCTGTAACTTGTACCTGGTGAACGGTAGTTCCATTCGATTCTACATCCGTTCATTCATGTTCTCTTGTGGTTCTTGTAAGGCCGTGGTTGAGGAAGAGGAGGAGGAAGACATGGAGTTCGATCTCTTTGGCTAAGCAGATGACCATGATGACCCTACAGGAGGCGTCCTCAGAGCTTCCCTGTTCCGGCAGTTGGCAAAGTGCCTTAGTATGCACCAATCACCGGTCAACCAACGATCTCGTGCCGCGGTGTTTGTTGTTAACAGTACTTGTATCGAAAGAAGTTGTTCAAAGGAATCTGAGCCTACCAAAGACAATAGGTGTTTTTTAATGTTTTTTAGTGGCCAAAGCAAGTGGAGAAATGTCTCTCTGTTGTGCTTGAACGGCCAGCTGCAGCTGGAAGATTGAGACAGCAGACGCTACCACTCAGAAACGAGGTTGGTCTTAGTGAAACCTGTGTTGCCATTAGAAGATGAACCAATACATCAGCTTTTTGTCACTTGTTCCCAAAAGAGCACCAGCAATGTAAGGTGATGAGGATGGACAGATGGACAGTGGCCGAATGCGCGGGAGGAATCGAAAAGTGTGTTTGTGGCATCGCCAAGGAGTGTTGAACCATGTGCTGTGGCTGGGATTGGGTGTTGCATGATGTTGCAGATGAGCTTGCATTGGCTTGCTGCTGTTCTTCTTGATGTGGTTGGGTACAAAGAAGTGGTTCCCGGAGGCAAGCCTGTCCCTGCTGTTGTGCTGGGCCATTCTAGTAAGTAGAACCAAAGTAGGAGAACTACCCAATGAACCATCAGTTCTGCAGCGATGCGAGACAGAAGCATCACATCATCCGCTGACTGGGCAAGTGGTGCCGACCGTAGCGGTTTGGGCTCAAACACGGACCAGCTGCGCCCCGACGAGAGTCGAGTTGCTCCACCCCTCTTCGTCAGGAGGGGCAGAACTGCGCTCCTTGGGTGAACTTAAGGCAGGATCAGCTTGAGATAGTCGTAGTCTAAAATGCTTGAGCCCTCTAAAATGATCTACAGGACTCAGGAATCCTACTAAACTTGTCCAGGTATGGCTTTGCACCTACTCTGAATCTGCGATGTAAACATCGCATCTCAACCTACTCTCTTTATCTCTGCAACTCCGATCTCTTTGAGATATCGGCAGGATGCCCAGCAAAGAGAAGCTCGCGAAGAAGAATGCGTACCCTTCCGATTGCTGCCTTGTGCTGTCCCATTGGTGTTGAGCAGCACCCTGGGGCCAAACCCCACAGAAAGGACGATGACCATGACGACCACTTTGCCATGTTCGTCAAGCAGAGAACCTCTTCCTTCGCTGCTTGCGTGACGAAAACGATGAGCACTGAGCACAGGTACTTTGCCAAGCTTGTGGACCTTTGCGTGAATACTCCCAATGCCTTGCTGGTCAGTCGGGAGTCCTAGTGTTTGGTGTGGCTCACACAGGTGAATGTTTGATAGCTCGTGAGGTTGTGGGATGTTGTCAGTCCTCGGTGGAGTTTGTCTTCTGTTTTACCAGCCTTTTTCTGTCTATGTCTCTCAACCAGAAAAAACCAAACAGCTAGGGCCACTTGGGTTGGGATTCTTGGACCAGATAAGGTTGCACAGTGGGAAGGAAACAGAACTTATACGTATTAAATCGTATTACATGGTAAGCAAGCTGGCGTTTGTCCAATCATCCTTTGCCAGCCTCACACAGGAGCTCTTGATGCACCCAAAGCCCATGACATCCCCCAAGGTTTTGGTCGAGATTCTCCGCTTCTGTTTGGAAGTTGTCAACGGAACAAACCGATTGAGAGGTTGGCACATGCACTTTTTTCTGCTAAAGTTCACCTGGGGTATGAGGTATTGACCCACAGCCGTGCTTTGTCAATTTCGATGAGTTTCACTCGCCTCAAGCTGAAGCAAGTTGACATAAGTGGACCATCCCAGCAGCCCAGGCGTGGACAACATCTCCTCCAAACAGATGCAGGTGTGGGGGTAGAAACCAAAGAGTCTCCAAGAGATCATGTTTTGGGGCAGCGCCCCAAGGCCGTGGAATCATTCGAGGCTCCTTCAGACTGGCTAGTTCGACATAGTTCGACACACACGATATGTCATGACAATATCGTGTATATAGTATACAGCATTATACAGCTAATAGTCTAGTCCACTCTCAATCATTCATAGTCGTTAGGCCATAATATCCATTCCCCCGTTGCGATTGCAAATGGGGCGGCTCGGGCAACGGGCCAGGACATCCGCATGGAGCTGAGAGGGAAGGCTGTGGTCTTGATGGGCCACCTGACAGCACAGGGTGCGGGTTGGCGTGACGTGGTGGGTGCGGACGGTGCAGAGGGCAGCCCGATTTGGACCTCTTTCTCTAAATGGCACTACACGAAGAGCATCGAACAAAACTCCAACCAAACTGAGCCAAATCTGAAATCCACTGCCTTGCCTTGGCTCGCAGCTGTCACTCCCAGGCAAGAACACCATGATCCGCAAGGCGCTGGCGAACGGCCACACCGAGCACCCTGAGGCCAGGAGCGAATGGATAGGTTGTTGCCCGGAACGTGTGTGTAGTATAGGAAAGATGCCCACCAAGTGGCCTACAAGTTGTAACGACAGTTTGGAATATCATGGTTATCAGCTGCATCCGAATCCCATGTTTTGCCTACCAGGCGACAGAGTCACACCAATGTTGTGACTTGACTTGACTTGAAGATTTCCCCTGCATGTGGACTGTTTGTTGGCTGTTTTTCTTGCAGTGTTGCCTTTTGCTGACTCCTTTACTAGTCTTTTTCTTTGTCTCAGTAGGGACATTTTAGAGAAGACTTCTTGGCGTGGTCGGCTATGGTCGGCTCATGCGATCCAGGCTGGTCTCGACAAGCTCCGGGCCATCATCCAGGGCAACCTCGGCTTCATTTTCGCCACGCGCGGGGCCCTGGGTGGGCAGCTCTGGTTTTGTTTCGCGCCGTATGGACGACGAGCTATGAATGAAACCATTGAAAAATTGAATCTTGGGACTTTGGACCTACATCTACCTGGCCAAATGCCAGAGTGGCGAATGATGCTGCCACGAAAACAAGAGATGTTTGCTGCTTGCGAAATCTACTACTGGACAGAATGTGCACTCTAGGATGAATGCACGGATCTTTCGCGCTCTCCGGTCTGGAGAATCACCCCGAACTCTTTTTTGCCCGAGTCAGCTCGGGGCAGGAACTGCACCACAGATGACATCAGAGAGGTCTTGGGAAAGCTCCTTGGCCGAGCAGTGAAGAGATCAGTGAAGCAAGCTGCGGAGCTCCCAACCAATCAGTTAGGAGTTTGGGATTCGATGTTCCTCCAAAGGTTCTTTGGGGTGGGTGCTCCATTTTGAAACAACCTACAGTAATTCCTTTCCTAGGCTCAAAGACTGAGGATAGGGGGGATTGGGTGCAAACGTTTAGACAGCACCGATTAATGGCCTGATACCTTTTGCCAGGAGGTGGCTGGATCAGTTTGGGGGAGTCTCCAGCCTTCAGAATGCTAGAAACTGGCCAACCATTTGTGTTAATTCTGCGAAAGCCCCGCAAAATCTCTCTCTCTCTCTCTCTCTCTCTTGGAGCAAGAACTTTTGGGCGAAGAGAGGAGGGAGCTGACCCTCAAACCGTGCCGTACTTGAATTTGGCTGTTACCAAGCTTATCAAAGAAGCAGCTTAGCAGTACTTTGATTGTAACTCTTTACTTAGTATCCCTTGAATCAACTGCTGCAAGCTTTCTTCTTTCAATGTAGGATTTCTCACAAATCTGTTTTTCCAAAGCACAGATTGTGTTTCACTCCCGAAAGAAAAACAGCATATGTGATTTGCTTAAAGTCTCTCATTCGTCTCAGATGTCAGAAGTGAGCCTGTTGATGGACAAGGTTCAATTACCCCTGTGGAAGCACTTGACACACTAAAAAGATTTGGGTCCCCAGATGCTGAGGCCCTCCAACTCCACAGACCCCAGAATTGAAAGGTGAAAGAGATGAAATCCATTCATTTTGGGCATCCCCTCATGCTGCGACAAGTGCCGTCCATTCAAAACCCATGCTTTGCGGAAAACAGTCATCCTGAAGGCTTGAAGATGTGTCCTACTCGACTCACACTTTGACTTGAAGCTTTATCCATTCAAACGAGAAATGCCGAGTTTGGCAAGGTTTTTGCTTGTTTTCTCGTGCTCTCTCTCTCTCTCTCGCTGACTCCATCTCTTTTCTAGCTTTCTTTCTCTTTCATCCGTGCAACTTCACAGACTCACAGATCCCTAACCTCTCTGTGACCGACGACTGCCATCGTAGGAAGGATGCATCGATCGCATCACATCAAATGACATGCCTTTGCAGCTTTGCGTGAGGTACAAGAGAGAGTCTGCCGCGAAAGCCGGACAGACGCTTGGCATCACGAAAGTTCGACCGTGTCGGGAGGCACGCATCGCGGACAACAGATTCTTTTGCATCCAATCTAAGCAGTGGCTATATGTTTTTTGTTGCCTCTTACACAGATGAACAGATTCTAACCAACGCTAACCAAATCGGGGTTTGTCGGAGTAGAGTCAGCTTTTGATACTGAGAGCGTGCATTGAATTACATAACATTACATAACTATAATAAATAGAATTGAGGAGCTGTCTACGTACCTCACACCGCGACTGGTCTTGACATGAAACCAATCACCCCAGACCAAACAATCTCCCGCAGGTAGTACCACTCGCCATGTGGCGTGTCACCAGACATGTAAACACTCACCATATATCACCATGCTATACCATGCTGCAAGAACATCTATGAGGCCCACCATCAACACAAGGACTCCAACAGACCGAACCTCACGTGGTGTTCGGTCGACCAAAGGGACCTCACGTGGTGCTGAGGAACTCCATCGTGGATTGGTTCATCCCTTCCGGACCCACTGGCATGGACCCTTCCCAGACCTCCTTCTTCCAGGCGGAGCGGAGCGGATCTCGAAGGGAGGTGAGGGCGAGGATGAGGGAGGGGATGGGTTTAGGGCCAGGAACCACCATACTACTGAACTGCTTGGGCAAGAAAGCTGAGTCGATATATACAGCCAACCCAGCATTTTCCCATCCATGCTCATCCAGCTAGAGTCTAGAGATAAAAAAAATGAAGCTCGCTCTCAACTCGAGGCCTTGAACATCGGTACCAAGATCGTGAAGGGACAGATCGAGCTGGTCTCCGATTTCAAGATCTTAGCCGAGCCTCGGCTTAAGTATCGGAGACATGTTGGATGTGTCTTGCCGAACCGCGTGGCTGGTGGATCAGAGTGGTGAGTGGCTGAAAGAGGATGTTGCTTGGGTGCGTCAAACATTACATCACCATTGGTCATGAGGGCCCTACAAAGAGTCTTTGCACACATTCTTTGGGCAAAAAAGTCAGTATCCTCATTATCATCTCAGTGAGGAACCGTGCCCACGACTCTTCAGGGTAAATGAGATTAACCAACAATCCCCATTGTTCCGGATTGCTCCCCCACCTTTGAGGTGGGCGAGCGCGTCACAGCCTCCGGTGCAGTCCTGCTCAACAAGCTGGGCATCCGACCCTTCGAGTACAAGATGGAGGCAAGCCACAGATGGGTCCGAAGTAGTTTAGCAGGAAAGCCTCAAGAAGAAGATTGGGGATTCCTCAAAAGACTTGTGATACTGGAGTAGTTTCAGCAAATCACAGTGGAATGTCATGGGAAATGGGGCGGGGCTTTCAAATCTCTTGGAACTTGTGGGAAGAAGTCGAACGACTCTTCCAAATTGTGTAATGTTCGGCACCTGGTAGTCCTGCGGACCTCGCCATGTGCATGACTCAGCGCTGGGTCTGGGTGTCAGGTGAAGTATGTCTTCCAGGATGCCGCTGTTTTCAGCGCAGCCGTCCTGGACATGTCTGAGGAGAAGCCCGAAACACAGCGCGAGTGACGAGCGGCCTGCGATGGGCTGAAGGTCGTTGACGACCCCAGGCTAGCGGTGAGGATTTGAGCCAGCGTGCAATAGTACATGGTCTTGCAAATCATCATGAAGCGTCAGGCCCACTTTTTGAGCCTCGTTGGGCACGTCCATGTTTGTTTGCCAGGGAACGACGCCGAATTTGCAACAACTGAAGTATATAGTTATTTGTGAGCACAGGTGCGTCTTTTAATTACTAAGTCTTCGGAAGACCCAGAATGTTTGACAGCGTCACCCTGTCAAGGCACTTGTGGGATTTACTGATTTACTTCGTGTTCCCAAAGGCACCCCTGCTCGGAAATGCAAGCTGCAAGCTGGGGATTCCTACTTAGGCGCGCAAAGACCTTCTTTTCAAAGGGGATCTCTTCCCTACCCGAAAGACCCTTTTGGGGACCCTTTGAACCAAAGATGACCAAACCCTGTCCTGTCAATGGAGACATATATATTATATATAAAGAAGCTGATCCATTGCTCATCCCAATGCAGGAGATGCTCATCCAGAAGTTCTTGGCCGGTATCGCCAACATGGCCGCCTTCAGCCGAGAGGCAGATCCTCTGTTTATTTTTGGTCGACTCATAGTTCCCTTTTTGATCCCCAAAGGCGGGAAAGGAGAGCAACTTGCCTAGTTGCATGTCTTTGTGAATGACAGAGCCTACTAATTACTCAGCTTGCTCCAACCATCAGCTGCTGCGGACATACATGCATGTCTACAGCAGCCTTTTCTGCACGTTTTGACCACTTGGAGGGAATGAGGTAAGTTCGGGAAATCAGACATGACATGATAATTGAACTTCTTGAATCTGTCTTACTGTACCAGTTGGATTTCACGAAATCCAAAAGGACATGTCTGAAAATAGGATAACGATTCCATAGAATTCCATAGATGTTTTCAACTGTTCATCATTCCTTTGGACAGCTATGAGATGAATTCATACTCATTCATGTAGTATTTGATTGACCCTTCTTTTCAACCCACTTCCACCACGCACTTTGCCTTGAAGATTTGACGCCAGCCTGGCCAGGTGGGCATCCCCACGGAGGCAGGTTTGCCTCATGCCTTCGGCAACGCCTTCCGAAACGTGGCGGCGCTGGTGGCGGACATCGACTTCACCTTCAAGGAGGTGCCGGTCCAGGGGGGGTTGAGAGTTGGAGATGAAGGGCTAAAAGGTGCGAACATTTGACACGTGGATGTGGTACCATCTCTGGTGAGGGTCCGTTACACACACTGTGCAGATGCAGGGGACATCAAACATGTTAGCGGGATGGTATATAGAGGTTGTTCTTTCTTTGTTCTTCACTGGCATTCTGCCAGATTTCGTTCGGTCTCGATGTGGTCCTCCAACTTCCCCAGGTTCAACCACCACCAGGTTGGATTCTCTTCCAACTGCCACAGATTGCTATGGCTTCGCCAGGTGGAGGATGTCAAGAAATTCTTGGAGGACCCTGATGCCTATGCCGCAGCCAACCCTGTGGCGGCAGCTGCCCCGGCGGCCGGTGGCGGTGAAGCCAAGAAGGAGGAGAAGAAGGCCATGCGAGCCGAGCTGGTTGGGAGGGAGGGAGAAAAGTAGCTTCAAAAGTTGGAAGATCCATTTTCCCCTTCAAACAGGGAGCCCTTCGAGATACAGGGGAGGAGACTTGGGTGTTGTACAATATGGCACAGACGACCTTGAGGCTACAGGTGTTCGGTGTCAGAAAAGTGCGGATCCCCAAAGGTCTGGTGCTACGCACTTGGTAGCCAACAAGGTCTGGGGGTCACCAACGCAGGTATGATCAGTGGGTAGGTGAAAGAATGTGAAAGACAGGCCGCTGTGCCCGAGATTCGCCTAGTTTTTGTAGGGTGTGTCAGGGAATTGCCTGGTGGATGAGGATGTGTGTATTTAAACAACTGCTCCCTTGCAGCAAGAGTGTCTCGCATGACCGTCATGTCCGGGTTGTGAGATATGAGGGGCCAACAACGAAGGCCATTCTGCCGTTTCTTTCTCTCACCAGCCATCACTAGGCTGTCGTGGAAGAGGAGGAGGAAGAGGACATGGAGTTCGATCTCTTCGGATAAGTCCCTTGGCAACGAGGTTTTTCAGGTCGTTTGACCGCAGCTGTCGTTTGCATGTTTGGATTTGCCTCTTCAAATCTTTTGCTCGAAGTTCTACCAGAAGTGGGTCCTGCCCCTTTGCCACTTTGTAGACTTGCCAAGGCTGATGGAGTTGGTGAAGTATCGAGAGCGCGCAGTCTGTGGAGCAAAAAGAAACGTCTCCGGGATGTTAATCGTCATTCGCTTCATCTTGGCCTTTTGGTCGTGTGGTGGTGTAGCAGTCCTGCGAAGCCCGGCCTTTACAAATGTGAGTAGTTGGAGTCTCACCTGGATAGCGGTGGTGGTGTACAAGATCTGGTGTTTGGAATGAAACAACAGAGATCCTGGAAGCATGTTCATTCTTGCTCAATGGCTGGTCCCAGTTGTGAAGCGAGGACTTCGTCCAAGTCTTTGGGATTCAATATGGCTCATGGATGCTCATGGGAGCAAGCATGCCCCAGATCAACGAATGTAGTACTTTTAGAAGGACTCCCCTTTGTAAACATCTCTATCATTCTCTATCACCGATTTCACCGTTGAAACCGTTTCACCCGGTGTCCCGTGACCCGGATGGCTTGGGACGCTCGGCTTCCGCTCCCCCACGCAGGTCCTGGAGCTTCTGCAGCACAAGGGCCGATACGTCGAGGCCATCGGCCATGGGACCGTCGTTCGGACGGCTCAGCCAATCAGCGGATGCTGGGAATGATTGGATAGTTGTTCAAGCTGTTTCAACTTGAAAAGGATGTTGGTCAAGTTTCTTTGATGGTGCATGACAGCATTTTCTTGTTTCGGGTGACAGTCAGTTTGCAATTCAATGTTGTTTTGGGCTTTTCACGGATAAGACATGGAGAACTGCTACTTTGGTACTTGAACAAAGGATGCACGTCTCATGACATGTAGCTCCTTTTCTTTTGATTGCACAAAGTTGCTTCAATCAGAACCTCTCAACTCCACTGGTTCTCAATTTTCATATTTTCTTCACATGCCGGGCAGTGTTTTCTGCCAACACTTTTTTCCACCAAGCAACTGCCAGTGGGTTCCCACCTGAGCTGCCATTAGGAGGAGATATTCTCGAATGCCACGAACCTGCCCGGCTTGCGGCACTCCCTGCTTAATGCCAGGAGCCTCAGCGAAGAAACGTTTGCTGTCAGCTAAATGCTTTTGGTTTGTGGGATGCAACTGTTTTTTTTTTTTTTTTCGCTTGATATGTGCATGTGTCCTTGGTTTTAGGATGTTTTAGGATGTATGTGCAGTACTCCCGGGAAAAGAAACAGCTTGAGCATGCTTGAGCAATCCTTCAGAGCGCGTCCAAAGCTGACTCACTTGCCACTCGCATTATCTCGCATTAGATATACCTGCATTTTGAGCAATGAGTCGAATAGGCACAAATATTTCAGGCTCGGTCCCGCGTTTTCATGTTTGCAGGGCCCCTTTGAGTCTGTGTCTACTTAGTGTAATTGTTTGTTTGGTTTTGGTGGGAACGTGGCACGCTTCTTGCAAGTGCAACAAATTGGTCGCAAACCACCATCCCAGACACTGACAGACGGATAGACTGTGGAGAGATGTGTGGGTGAAAGGATCGATCCCCACCAGCTAACTCACCTCAGTCTTGGGCTCAACTGCCAACTACTGTATAAGAACGTAAGAACTATAGACTATAGGCTGTTCTAGGCTTTAAGTGGGTGAATCTGCTGGGTGGTCTTTTTGGCCGAAAAAAAGGGGTCGACTCGACGGGTTGACAGCCCAATGGCTCGTCCCAGAAGTCGGGTGCTTTGTTTTTACCGGAGAGGTCTTAGTGGAGCGGGCGACGCCCGAAGCCTTGGCACCTCGATATGAGGGGAAGCAAGGGGAAGAGGAAGGGGTCAAGGAAGTTAAGTAAGAGGTTAAGCCGCTCTTTTGAAACAGAGATGATGAATCAGATGTATTGCAATGTCTTAGCCATTAGCCATTAGTAATACTCATGTAGGCGAACTTAGATATTTGCACATAAAGCCGCTAGTATTGGCTTGGTCCTTGTGCTTCAGCCCTGCGCAATGGAAGTGATGAAGTTCCGGTTTCATTGGGTGTGGGAATGCTAATCCGATGCAAGCAACATGGGAGCTGCTGTCGCTCTCTTGGGTGAACGACGAAGCACATATTCTTTGTCCGACAACCATGGAAAAGGGTCACAAGGGAGCTAACACCTAGAATTGCGTAGAATTTGGATTTACAATATCCATCAAGGTTTCATTGAAGAGCAAGCGCCACACAGCTGTCAGGCCACTTCCGCCCATGTCAACAGTAACTTAAATGTTTGAGCTGGTTGGCCGTGGAGGAGCTTGGAAATCGTGGGACGGGACGTGCTCAGGAGTGGCTCTTTAGTTATTGGCCCATGCTCCTGGCATTCGGGTGGATGCCTCAGCCTCCGCTCGACCAAAGCTTGTTTTGGTGTTATAAAATAATAAGATGTAGGAACCCATGAATTTTATCATCACTTTGTATTAAGAATTCATGGGCCTGTTGGTCTCTTCTATCATCATTACAATTTATAAGGTGGGAAATAGTATCTTTAATCCATAGACTGCATCCTCACTAATTTTAATGGATTATGTCTTTTCCTATATTTTCATCATTAATATTGCTAACCCACGTATCTTTATTTTATTTTTATATTAAGGTTTACTTCCTCATAAATTAAATCATGAATAACAACATATTTTCTATCCTATGGTCTGCTTTGGTAAATTAAAGTTTTACCTGGAGGGGATGTAGGTTTCAAGTTATATGACGTTGTATCCGACTGTACATGAGTTTATATCTGATAGTTTTCTGATAGTTGTTTCTACAGAAACTCTCAGAGCGTTTCCCAGATTGTTCAACTCCTATTGAACATAATGGGCTGGAAGCATTGAAGTGGTTTCTTTAGTTTGTTACTTGCAGCTGCTTCTTAGGTTGCCAGTCGCCGTCACTGGAAGAGGCCTCATCCAGGCTTGCGAACCCCACTGCCACCCCTGTTGACAACGTGCGCTTGTGGTCAGTTCACCCTCCAACTCTGGGATTTGTTACCCCTTAGAGATTGCTACTGTACAGTCACACAGTCACCTGGAATAGCCATTGGGTTCTAGCAATCGCTTTTGGGTTGATTTGTGGGTTTTGCGTCCTTCCTTCCGTCTCCCTCTTCTCAGCGGCAAGGTTTAGGTGACAAAGATGGACTTTATGGATTCCAAACTAGATAGGAAAGTAAATCCCATCTAAAACAGTCTATTTTGCGTGTAGGTGACGAACGAGCTAGTGTATCTGGTGACATGGCGGAACCACAGGTCTTGTGCTTTGGGACTTTCTGGCTCTTGCTGCGGCCCATGGCGACTGCTTTGCAGGCCGGGGTGATCTGAGACGGTGAACAGTTTCTGCTCCGAACATTGCACACCGAATCGGAGAATGACCAGTTCCACCACAATTGATTTGATGACTTTCTGGACAGCTCATTTGGGTTGGGGTCTTGATCCTTGGTACCCATGGGATTCAACAAGGTGTGCTCTACTGTTAGCAGAAGAGCTCCTGCCAAATTTGTAATTACTTGTAGTATGTCACACAAAGAATTCCAAGGCAGGCAAACAAATCTTGCAGACTTACATCATACATCGTACAATTATTTAGAAGTTCAATTGTTGTTGTTTCAGCATTTTGGTGTCAAACATTTCGCAGGGCACAGCAAAAGAACAGATCAACATTACATTGAGTATAGATATGTAACGATTCTACAGATGATGACGTCATTCTTTGCTTGGGAGCCTAGGTTCAGTGACTTCTTTGTCTCCAAGTTCCAAACCAACCAACAGGTGGTGTTCATGTCATGTCTTCATATGTCTTCGATTGTTTTTACCTGTGAACCAAGAAACCTAAGGCTTCTGAATCTCCAAGAAACCAAGAGCTGCTTCTGTTTCATGACATGTGCCGACTCATCGATCCAGGTCTCCTGGCACTACCTCGATCCGCAGGTGGGCGGGCTTGGCGGCTCCTGAACCGACCACCGAAGCGGAAAAAGGAAGAACAATCGAGATAAGGATGGGTCAAAGCTTCCTTGGACCATTTCGGGATGTTTTGGTGTTCACCGGGAGTGTGGCAGGTTAAACTGTTAAACGTGAAACGCAAGGTCCCGAAGACCCAGACGGCTCATGAGATTGGTTAAGATCCACATGTATGCCCTGCCATTGGCTGCCAAGGGTTGTCGGACTCCCTCTGGATTTGGCCACGGATGGGGAACTCCGCTTGGGCTTTGTCAGTAACGAGAGTTCCAAAGCCAATTGAGCAATGATAGGCTTTTCGGTAGAGCGATGCATCTCAAGCTCCGGCTGTCTCGGTTGCAGTTTGAACACCGAACCGCCGAACTGGCAAGAGACTGAAAAGGGGGCAACCAACTACAATTTGGCTGTGAAGGCACAATCAATCCGTTCCTAGTCACTTAGTCTTTCATGCTTCGCATCAGTTCCACTTGTTCCCAAAATGAGGTCCATTTGGAGAAAAAGGGACACACAGACAGCGCAGACAGGGAGTTTCACCTTTTGAATCTGATCCCTTGGTCAGACAGGTGGCCACAGGAGCGCTCCCACGCCTTGGCTGCTCGCCGGAGGCCATGGTCCTGGCGGCCCGGGCGGCCCAGTCCGACAAATTCGGGAGAGATGCCAGAGGAACCATGGTGGACACCTCAACAAAATGGGACACTACAATGCAATGAACATACAATGTACAAGGGAGGCATATCATGTATAGCAATTAATTAAGCACGTTTACTTACGGTAATAAGTAATATAATATATATATATATAATTCTTTTGGGCCAAGCACCCACCCAGCAGAAGTCCTATACAGCCTTTGGAATGCTTCCCCTTTTTTGGCACCGGGATGGAATGCGGCGAACGGCACGTGTGAGCTGGCCCGGCGGTTTGCCCGATCGAATCAGGCGCACTTCTACTGGTCGTGGGGCCTCTTTGAGTTGGTCATCCGCC